GATGCCTGAATGTCCTTGTAAATCCATTACAGAAGCATTCTATCATTTACGAGAAGCGCTTAATCTTCCTATGTTTCGTCAACATTCAATGGCGATTAATTTTAAACAGTATCGCGACCGTCAGTTTGTATTCGGGTTTAGTATGGAACGCGTTCCAGATAGTTCTTATACTGGAATTAATACACGTGCCGGGCAAATGATGTTAATTAGAGTGAAGCCAACTGGTGCTTCAATCCCTGCTAATGATATGCCTGACCAGATTTTCATAACATTACTGTCGGAACAGATTCTTGAGGTGCGCGACTTAGGCATTAAAGTTTTTGATTAAATAGACATTGTTAAATTAATTATCTAAAGTAATTTAATAATGGTATTGACATTGAATAATACAAACACATTAACAGCTGATAATATTATGATAGGTGGAACTGATTTATCGCAATTATATGCTACAAAAGCGGAAGTAGGAAACAACGCCCAAATATCAACAAATACAGGTGATATAGCAACCTTAAACACAAAACAATTACAAAACTTTAATAATGTTCATGATATTAATACTAATTTAACAAATAATTATCAAACTAACAGTCAGTTAAGTAGCAATTTTTACAATAAGACAGAGATAGATACAACACTAACACATTATTATACATCTTCACAAACAGATACAGGTTTATCTACTAATTATCAAAATAACACATTATTGGCAACAAATTTTTATAATAAAGGTGAGGTGGATACACTAATAGCAGGCGCTGGCGGTGGCAATGGTTATACTGATACACAGATTGATGAAAGACTAAATTTAAAAGCCGGTTTATCATTATTTACCGATAATGTTTCATTTTTCCCCATAATAGATTTATCATTACCGTCTATTTTACATCAGGGATTAACATTAAAGAACTCAATAGTTAATATTGAACCATTAGAAGGAGTATTGTTTAGTAATCAATTTGGAGCAGAGGCAGACAGAGATGTAGCAGTTTTTAGAAATCAAACAAGTTATATAACATTGAAAGGAAAGAGAATAAATTGTAATGCTACATCAAACGATAATGAAGAAGCGTTAGAATTAAATGACCAAGGCAATGGAATAGTCCAGATAGGGACAGCATCAACAGCAAGAGTAGGAATAGGCGCGTCGCCTAATCCACTGTATTTGTTAGCAGTAGCGGGGACTTCATCATTTGATGTTATAAGAAGTGCCATAAGGTTAGATTTGGTAGGAGATATGTTTGTAAAAGGAACAGGAAGCGACATAGTCAGACCATCTGCTACTTCTGATTATACTTTAAGAGTTAGAGATAATGTAGGAACATTTGAATTTAGAAATAACAAGTTTGGTAGAACAAATGGTCAAATGGTTTTACAAGATGACGGCGACTGTGAGTTATTTATAGGAACAGAAGGAACAGCAAGAGTAGGAGTAGGAACAACACCGGATGCTAATTATTCAATAAATGTGGGTGGAACTTCTAATTTTAATACAGCAAGAATTACAAATGGTTTAGAATTAGAAAACGAGACAGCAAACATAAACAATTCCAACGGACTTACACTTTATAAAAATACAACCGACGCCAGTAGTGTTTTTTAACCGTAAAAAACGCACAAGGATACATACAATTCAACTCATTTAATATTAATGCTTATAACACGAGCAACGACAGTTCTTCATTACTTTTTTAAATACTGGTAATGGAAATGGTGTTTATTGCTTAAGTTTAGGTATTGGAGCAATTCAAGGAGCAAATAAATTAAATGTAAGTGGTGGAAATAGTAATTTTCGTGGCACATCATCGTTTCAAAATACATCAACATTTAATAGAAATATTCATATTAATAATTCAGGTAGAATATTTCAAAGAGCAGACGCCAATAATTCATTAACTGTTATATCAACAAATGAAATTAATTGTTCATTACAAAGTAATAGAGCAGATGACCCTACAACATCTTCTATTGCTTTACAATTAAACGACGCTAATGGAATTACAATAAACAGAGCGGTTACAAGCAATCAAACTCTTAATAGTATTGGTAATATAACAGCGGAAGCGAATTTAAATATGGGCAGAGTTGTTATTTCAACATTCATCGGGAATTAAAGAAACATTAAACGGAAGTGATTATGACCTAGATATTAGAAATGGAGACACAGACAGAGCAATTAATCTAATAGTTGGAGCAATAGGAAGCACGCCCGAAATTTCTGTTTGTGAAGCTAATATTCATTTTATTAGGTCATTTAGATATTACACATTCGACAGTTTCAACGAGTGAGCGCGTAAAAAATGGATAATCCTGATGCTGACGGATTAATATTTAGTTCTATCAATGGTGCTAGTATTTTGGAAGTTTCCAGCAGTGGCGTTTATGTAAATGGCACATTAGATAATCGCAGTGATGTAAGACTAAAAGGGAACATTAAAGAAGTCAATAGTAAAACTTTTGTTGAAATGGTTAAATACATAAAACCGAAAGAATTTACATATATTGATATAAATGAGTAAGGAAGAAGCAAAACAGAACGACAATTTTCATATTGATAAAGGCAGTGTCAGTTGTAGTTTTTGTCGTTGTGGTAGAAAAGCATTTCATAAGGGAACGAAAACAACGACCGACAAGGCAGGTAATACAGTGGTAAATCAGGTAGAGGAGCGTAGCAGTTGGCGTTTAGGAACAGGCAGCGGAACCACTCCCGACGACCAGAGCATTTTTAGAACGAACGAAGATGCTAAGGAAGATATCGATACGGTTGATACGGGTTGGGGAAAAGTGGGAACAGGTTGGTCAATTACACCAGAAGAAGCAGAAGAAAGAATAATTAAGTTCGCGCACGAATTGGAAGAATTAAAGAACAAGAATAAAGTTAATGGTATGGATTAGTATATACATATTAATATATGGATTGTTTATGCCCTAACACAGTAAGTAAGAAGGAGGAGAAAAAGGATTGGATGACCGAGAGAAAAAATGTTAGAATGTATAATGCTAGATTACGTGCTATAATAGATGAACTGGAGGGTTATTATCATTATGAAGAATATAAGAAACGATTTAAATTGCTGTTTGAGTTTTATCAGATAGAAGAATTGTTAAAATAGTCTAAAGGTATAATTACGATATGTTATGACAGAGAGCCCCCAGATGCCAGTGCCCGCGTGCCTCCATAAGCGCATCAAAAGAGTGTGGTAATGGTCTTTAATTAGTTTGGAAGTGTTGCCCCGCACTTCATGTTTTAGCTAAAAAGAAACCCCATCCCGAAATATTCTAATAATTAATGACTTCAATCATTAGAATGTTTGTTTTAGCAGTCTAATCGTGCCTAAAGACTAGAATTTTTTAATATAGTAAGATGGAAAAGCGAGTGTGTAAATCGTGTTGCGCGATAAAAGATATTGAAGAGTTTGACGGTTTTAAGACTTGTAATAGTGCCGTGAAGCGAAAAGAAAATGCTACAAGAAAAACCAGAAGGAATATAACCAAGCGAGAAGAGAAGAGAGAGCAAAAGGGAGCCAATTATGTGAAGAATGCGGGCACAAAATAAGACACGAAAACTGGGATGCCCATTTCCATTATGCGCTACATCCGAACTCGGAACTAAATGTATTGATGAAAGATTATTTAAGGAAATTAGGTAATTTAAGGAAAGAAGGCAAACTAAACGATGACATACAAGCACCAAATTTAAGGCAGAATACGAAAAGCAGAAAAGGGAAATACGCAAACGATTAAACGAACAATTTCCTAATAAATTTGTTGATGATGAACCACAGCCTGAACCAGAACAACCTAAACCAGAGTTATTATTGAAATTCCTGTTGATAAGCCATAAGTATAATGTAGTCACAATCCTTAGGCTGTTATAGATTACAACTATATTATGGTTATTTACTATCAGGTGCGTCGCGCGCTCAGTGACTACCTTATTCCTAAACATTATTCCTATTATGGTAAAATGATTTAAGATGACCATTTCCATTTTCTAGGGTTAGGGATTTCGGGTCGGGGGATATGGTTTTTCTATGGAGTATTGGTATATGGGTTTGAGGTTGGGATTTTTCTATGTGGTGGTGTATGGGTCTTCCAATGGTTCTATATTGTGGGTCTTACTATGGGTATTTTGGTGAGGTTAGGGTTGAGGTATAGGTTGTTATGGTTTTGGGTCTTCATGTGAACTATTCTTAGGGTTCTACCTATGGGTCTTGGGTGGGTTGAAGGTTGGGGTATAGGTTGTTATGGTTTGGGTGCTAGGGGGGTGGTGCATGATTAGAAAATGGAAATGTCATTGCCAACTAAATGTAGGCGGGACCGTCAGGCACTAAACTAAACTGATACACCCGAAGCCCCGACTCCCAAACAACCCGGAAGACACGCATCCCAACCAGCCACGTCTTGCAGATTTCTTTATTTCGAAAGCCGGTTAGGGTTCAGGGTTTAGGGTTTAGGGTTTAGGGTTTAGGGTTTAGGGTTTAGGGTTTAGGGTTTAGGGTTTAGGGTTTAGGGTTTAGGGTTTAGGGTTTAGGGTTTAGGGGTTGTGGTAAAGATGTTCAATAAGCTTCGTAGCCCGCGACAACGAAGTGGGGCGCAGGGGCTCGACAGCTCAGGGTTCCTAAACCCTAAACCCTAAACCCTAAACCCTAAACCCTAAACCCTAAACCCCAAACAACCCTAAGCCCAACACCCTACACCCAAAACGTGCAGCCGGTCCTCTCTTGTTTCTTTCCATGGCTGAGATTCCTAAGCAATCTCGCCGTGCCAGTAGTAGCTGTTTCGCGCCTCAGTTAACGCATCGAGCAGAGGGTTTCTCCCAAACGTTGCCTGTATGTAAAACCCAAAACCCTAAACCCCAAACCCAAACCCCAAACCCTAAACCCTAAACCCTAAACCCTAAACCCTAAACCCTAAACCCTAAACCCTAAACCCTAAACCCTAAACCCTAAACCCTAAACCCTAAACCCTAAACCCCCAGGAGGCGGCGGTGGAGGGCGATGCAGAGGAGAGTAAGTCGGAGCCGAAGAAGCAGGCAGATTTGGGGGGGGGGGGGGGGGGGTGGGGGTTACAGTTTAGGGTTTAGGGTTTAGGGTTTAGGGTTTAGGGTTTAGGGTTTAGGGTTTCAGGCTAGTGGTTTAGACCGGGCAGGTAGGTTTGGAGGGTTGGAGGGTTGAGAGGGGGGGTTGTTTAGGGTTTGCGGCTTTGAGAGTCCAAGTTTTCGGGGCTCTTATAATCAATAGAGGGTTCAGGGTTCAGGGTTTAGGGTTTAGGGTCCGGGTTTAGGGTCTAGGGTTCAGGGTTTGGGGTCTTGCCTAGTCAATTCCCTGAGCTGCGGCCCCTCGTTTCGGGTCCCGGGTGATACTGCGGCCCCTTTTCTGTCCCGAGGTCGCTTTTCAGAGCTGATCTTTTGGTATGGGGGGATTCCGAACATACGGGTACCCTGTCTGGGGTCTGGGGGTCCCTTGGTCCCTTTAAGGGGTCCCTTCAAGGGGAGTCTATTCTAAATGGGCATAAAAGGGGTACCCCAATTTAATGCCCATATTCGTCTTGTCTTGGTTCCCGGCTGTCGTTCTCTTGTTGGCGCTTCTTCGCTGGGTCCTCTTTCCTCGATGAATTCGGGTGCTGGCGATGGGTCCTTCGTCTCTTTGCCGTGAAGGGGATCAGGCTTGAATAGGCTCTTGAATTCCTCCATGAACCAACTTTAGAATTTGGAGACCCTAAACGCCCTAAACCCTAAACCCTCAACCCTAAACCCTAAACCCGAATGAGTGTCTTTTCCTTATTGGACGTTCACTGGGGGATAAACGTGATATCCGGTCATATCGGGTCCCGGCGTGGTTGAAGCTTTCTTGGACCTTAGGACCGCCCGAAGATGCAGCAAGCTGATCTATTTGGTTAGTTCTCTAAATTAGGTTTAGGGTTTAGGGTTTAGGGCTTAGGGCTTAGGGTTTAGGGTTTAGGGTTTAGGGTTTAGGGTTTAGGGTTTAGGGTTTTGGGGTCCTATATAGAGTACGGCGCCCTCATCATACGGACACGAAAAGGGACTTGGACTTCGAATCCAGTGACGTGCGGCCTCGTGAGCGCAACCGATAGCTGTCGGTTCTTGTTTAGGGTTTAGGGTTTAGGGTTTAGGGTTTAGGGTTTAGGGTTTAGGGTTCAGGGTTTTGTCGGCGGCTGGTGCTGTCTTTGTGGTTTCTTCTCTGGGTCCCTGGCTGAGGGCGGTCGTTCGTTCATTTGTCAAAGGAGACCTCAGGTTGTTCGCGGTTTTGATGTTCTGGTATTCTGTCAAGTAGTCAAGCTGCAGGGCCTAACAACCCTAGAAACGGAACGTGTGTTTTTTTTGTTCGGCCAGCTCTTTTACTTTTCCTTTTTTTGCTTGGCCAGCCGCGTCCCGAACAAAAAACAAACGCGCCCGGAGTGTTTTTTTTTGCTCGGCCCCCTACGACCCCCGGCCCGCAAGTGAGTGAGTGACCGGGCGCGTCCCGAACAAAAAAAAGCACGCCCGGAGTGTTTTTGTTTTGCTCGGCCAGCCGCGTCCCGCACAAAAAAAAACTGCCCCGGTCGCTCCCGAGTGTTTTTTTGCTGGGCCAGCCGCGTCCCGAACAGAAAAAAAACGCGGCCCGGCCGCCCCCGTGTGTTTTTTTTGCTCCGCCAGCCGCGTCCCGAACAAAAAATAAGCGCCCGGAGTGTTTTTTCTGCTCGGCCAGCCGCGTGAGTTACAAAAAGGCGTGCTGAGCAAAAAGCGTACGGAACAAAAAAGAAAACACTCTTACCCCCTAGAAACTCTAAACGCCCCTTGACGTCGCTTCCTCGCGCGACAGGGGCCCCGGCGTCCCCTCAAGCGCAAGCTGGCGCAGCGCAAGGACCCACAGGCCGGGTGGAGCGGGGCTTGGGGTTTGGGGTTTGGGGTTTAGGGTTTAGGGTTTAGGGTTTAGGGTTTAGGGTTTAGGGTTTAGGGTTTAGGGTTTAGGGTTTAGGGTTGGGGTACAGGGGAGAGGGTTTAGGGTTTTGGGTTAAAAGGTTTGAAGTGTGGGGTTAAGGGTATAGGGTTAGGGTGGAGGTTCAGTGTGTAGATTTCCTGTCGGATTTAGGGGTTCAAGGTTCCGGGTGTACGGGGTTTAGGGTTCGGGCGGTTGGTTGCTTCTAGTTTAGGTACTAGTCTTGCCATGTATTAAAAAAAAAACTCAAGGCCTAATGCACCCTAAACTCAGCACTACAAACGAGCTCTTGAAACTCTAAACCTTGAAGCTCTAAACTCTGAATCTTGAAGCCCTAAACCCTAAACCCTGTACCCTCAACCCCACACCCCGAAGTCGTGATGAGGCTCCCATAACTACTAAGCCCAAACCCTAAACCCTGAACTGAACCCTAAACCCTAAACCCTAAACCCTAAACCCTAAACCCTAAGCCCTAAGCCCTAAGCCCTAAGCCCTAAGCCCTAAGCCCTAAGCCCTAAACCCTAAACCCTAAACCCTAAACCCTAAACCCCGACCTGCAAGACAGGAAGGCCTGTCGCGCATCGGTCGCCGGGACTTGCTTGGCGAGGCCGATGCTCGTGCTACCGTATAAACCCGAAGCCCTAACCCGAAACCCTAAACCCTAGCCCTAAACCCTAAACCCTAAACCCTAAACCCTAAACCCTAAACCCTAAACCCTAAACCCTAAACCCTAAACCCTAAACCCTAAACCCTAAACCCTAAACCCTAAACCCTAAACCCTAAACCTAACCCTAAACCCTAAACCCTAAACCCTAAACCCTAAACCCTAAACCCTAAACCCTAAACCCTAAACCCTAAACCCTAAACCCTAAACCCTAAACCCTAAACCCTAAACCCTAAACCCTAAACCCTAAACCCTAAACCCTAACCCCCAAACCCTAAACCCCAAACCCCAAACCCTAAGCCCCTAGTTACTCAGAGATTAGGAGTTTAGGGCTTGGGGGATGGGGGGCTTTCAGGGTTTAGGGCGTTCAGCTTGTTTTTTAGGATTCAGTTGGATGTAGGGTCTTTAGGATGTCGAGGTTTGGGGTTCAGATTCAAGACTTTTGGGTTCGGAGCCATAGTTGAGGCGTTCAGGGTTAGGGTCTAGGGTGTGTGAGAGCTGGCTTAGGCTTCTTTAGGGTTCGGAGGCCTGGGGTTTAGGGTTTAGAGTGTAGGGTTTACGGTTTAGGGTTTAGGGTTTAGGGTTTAGGGTTTAGGGTTAGGGTTTGGGGTTTAGCGTTTCGGGGGGTTAGGGTTTAACAATTTCGGGCTCAGGGCTTATGACCAGTTTGGGGTTTTAGGGCGAAGGGTTGATGATGTAAGGTTCAGGGGTTCAGGGGCAGTTTGGGTTAGGGTTGCAAGGGGCTCAGGGGCTTCGGGTTTTTGGAGGAAACTTTTCAGAGTTGTTCTTCCCCGGTTTCTTCAGAAAAAAACTTTTGGGTTCAGGGCCTAGGGCTTAGGGTTTGGGGACCCTGAACCCTAAACCTAACCCCAAATCCCTTATGCCCGAAACCTGGTTGCACCCCGAGAGACCTCTCAAACGAAAGACAGGCTGCGCACGGAAGCTCAAGAAGAAGCTTTGGGGGGAGTGATTGGCTTGGGTTTAGGGTTTAGGGTTTAGGGTTTAGGGTTTAGGGTTTAGGGTTTAGGGTTTAGGGTTTAGGGTTTAGGGTTTAGGGTTTAGGGTTTAGGGTTTAGGGTTTAGGGTTTAGGGTTTAGGGTTTAGGGGGCTTGTTTGGTTGAGTGATCCAGCAAATAGTACAAGGCATCAACTTGAGGAAAATCCCCACACTGTTTGTTAAAGAGTTGCACTTCCGAAGCCCCGTATAGCCCTAAACCCTAAACGCTAGACCCTAAACCCTAAACCCTAAACCCTAAACCCTAAACCCTAAACCCTAAACCCTAAACCCCAAACCCTAAACCCTAAACCCTAAACCCTAAATCCGAAACCCTAAGCCCTAAACCCTAAACCCTAAACTCCCAGAGGCCATCCGGAGCATGGAGAACCGCCTGGCTCGTCAAGGGCTCCTGGCCGCTCCAGAGACGATCCTGTCATCGAGGAGCGTGGACCACCAAAACGGTGCCCAAAATCCTAAAGCCCTAAACCCTCAACATAGATATCCTAAACTCTGAACCCTGAAACCCTGAAACCCAAAACCCTAAAGAACCCTGAGCTCGAAAACCCTTAAACCCTCAACCCCTAAACTTTAAAACCCAAAGCCCTAAAGTTTGGAGTTTCCGGTTCAGGGCCCCTAAGCGACAGAAGTTCTTGAGCTTAGATCAGGCGGGTCTCTTGTTCAAGGCCTTGAACTTATAAAACCCTAAAGCCCCAAACCCTATAACCCTAGGTTTTTCTTCAGAACTATACAGGGCTTTAGGGCTTACAGGCCTTATGGCCCTATATCGGTACAACCTGAAACCCCACATCCCTGGAACCCTAGAACCCTAGAACCCTAAAACCCTAAACCCTAAACCCATAAACACCAGAACCCTAAACTCCATGACCCTGCAGCCGTACTCGGAAATCTCTTAAGCCGAGACCCTACTACTCTAAACCCAAAACCCTGACCCCTAAAACTTAAACACTTACACCCAAACCCTAGACCCTAACCCGGTTTCCATAGACAGTTGGATGATCGCAGGGATGCTGGGAAGAAGTCCTTGGATGAGCGCCTGGGCGTCTCTTGGGTTGGGGTTTATCGGGCTTCCAGCTTCAGGGTTTCGGGGGTTTAGGGTTCACAGGGTTTGGGGTTTAGGTGATTTAAGGGTTTGGGTCTAGGGTTTAGGGTTTAGGGTTCATAAGGGTTTAGGGTTTAGGGTTCATGGGGTTTAGGGTTTAGGGCAGTAGGTGGTTTAAGGTCTAGGGTTTCAGGTTTTTGGGGGAAGGGTGCCTCAGCTACCGTGCCTCAGCTACTTCATCTTAGAAGATGGCAGTGGGGGGAGGGTTTCAAGCAGGAGTCTACAGGGTTTCGGTTCAGGGTTGGGAAAGATTGTAGGCCTTATGGGTTAAGGCGAAAGAAGCTCTTTCGGGTTCAAGACAAACCATAAACCCCAAGCCCAAGCCCTAAACCCTAAACCCAAAACCCAAAACCCCTATGCAAGCTTGTCTTCCTAGTGGTTGGGGGGTCGCTACAGCTCCTGGGCTGGGAGGGCAGGAGTTGCGCACCGTAAGCCCTAAACCCTAAACCCTACACCTTCAACCTCAAGGTTCTATGATGTTACCGACAACTTCATCGACGACGCGGAGCTCGCGGCCGTGAATGCGTACGACACGCAGCAGCAGAAGCAGAAGACAGGACCGGTGTCTTATAAGGTTTAGGGTTTAGGGTTTCGGGTCTAGGGTTTCGGGTTTAGGGTTTAGGTCTCATTAGAGAAGGAGGGAATGAGGTGCCCTAATCCCCGTATTTATACCCTTTAAGGGTTTCTATAGGGTAACTCATTCCCCCATTCCCTACTAAGAACCAGGGGTTCCTGTAGGGTTTAGGGCTCACAATTGCCAATCTGTGCATTTCCTTAACTAGGGCCCGCCCTTGTCACCCCAAATACACCACAATCCCCTTCGTAGAGACCCTTCGGAAGGGACTCATATGCTTGCAAAACCTTAACCCGAAACCGAAACCCTTAACACCATGGGTTCCATGTCCCCAAAACATTTTGTGGTCAGGATCCGCTTCTTAAGGGGCGCTTATCCCAGGGCCCATGCCTGTAAAGGACCTTCAGAGCAACAATCCTTCTGACTTGTCCAAATGCTTGTCTAAGCAAGCTGCACAAAGGCCTGGTATGTGGTATCATAACAAGCTGGCACCGCACCAAGCCCCGTCACCAACAGCAGCTCCAAAAGCCTGATTTAAGTAAATTGATGGAAAACGTCCCCAAATGGGTTGAGGAGAGGAGAGGGGCCCCAAAAGGCTCCCACAAAGCCCGATGATTGAGGGCCCCCTCCGGAATTTTTCAGCAGGCCCCAAAAAGGACCGGGAAGCCAAAGACCGTGTAAACGGGCTCCAAAAGCAGCGTCAAAAGCCATTTGGGGGCATGGGGTTTAGAGCCCTCGAGAAACCCCCCCCAAAAGGCCCCGACGCCCCCAAAAACCTCGAACCGCAGGGCTACGGGAAGGGTTGCCAAAGCGTTCAGGAGAGTCCAGAAACTTCCCCAAAAGGCCCCAAGAGGCCCCACCTTCCCCACCCCCACCTCCTGAGGTAAAAATATGAAGCCCTAAACCCTAAACCCTAAACCCTAAACCCTAAACCCTAAACCCTAAACCCTAAACCCTAAACCCTAAACCCTAAACCCTAAACCCTAAACCCTAAACCTAACCCTAAACCCTAAACCCTAAACCCTAAACCCTAAACCCTAAACCCTAAACCCTAAACCCTAGACCCTAGACCCTAAACCCTAAACCCTAAACCCTAAACCCTAAACCCTAAACCCTAAACCCTAACCCTAAACCCTAAACCCTAAACCCTAGTCTCCTTCAAAGCTCTCGTTCAAAACGTTTCGGTCAAAACTTTTTGGGCCCCAAACCCTACACAGTTTCGAAAAACCCTAAACTCTGCCATTCAAGCACGTTAAACCTTAAACGCACACCCTAAACCCTAAACCCAAAACCCTAAGCCCTAAACCCTAAACCCTAAACCCAAAACCCTAAACCCTACTCCCGAAACCCGAAACCCCAAACCCCAAACCCTAAACCATACAACGAGAGAGGAGGAAGCCGGAAGGCGGCCAGCCGGGGCGAGTTGGACTCGGTGAGGCATTCCCTAGACAGGGAGGGACTTAGGGTTTAGGGTTTAGGGTTTAGGGTCTAGGGTTTAGGGTTTAGGGTTTAGGGTTTGGGGTTTGGGGTTTAGGGTTTAGGGTTTAGGGTTTGGGGTGAAGGGTTCAGGGTTTAGGGTTTAGTACACACATCTTGCTGACCTACCCTGCGGGTCCATGTACCTACGAATGTTCGGGGTTTAGGGTTTCAGGGTATTTTAGGGTTTCAGGGTATTGGGGATTGGGAGGTTGGTCTAGGGTTGAAGGTGTAAGGTTTAGGGCTTGGGGTTAGACAGGGCTTAGAGAGGCTTGCGATTCTAAACTCCGCGCTTTTAATGCTGTTTACCCCTGGCTCATAAGCTCCTAACCTGCAAAGCTTGAACCCCAAACCCTAAAAAACCCTAAGCTCCTCAACCCTAAACCCTAAACCCTAAACCCTAAACCCCAAACCCTAAACCCTAAACCCTAAACCCTAAACCCTAAACCCTAAACCCTAAACCCCAAACCCGAAACCCGAAACCCTAAACCCTAAACCCTAAACCCTGAACCCTGAACCCTGAACCCTGAACCCTGAACCCCAAACCCGAAACCCAGACTCAAGCTCGAAGTTCCATGCGCGAGCCGCAAGCCAGGCCGGTTGTTGCAACCACGGAGGTGGCCACGGGCTTTTTGGGGGTTTAGGGTTTAGGGTTTAGGGTGTGGGTTTAGGGTTCAGGGTTTAGGGTTTAGGGTTTAGGGGGCTTAGGTCATTGATGATGCTTGTTGCTGCCGTGAGTGCTGTTTCGTAAACCCTAAACCCCAAACCCCAAACCCCAAACCCTAAACCCTAAACCCTAAACCCTAAACCCTAAACCCTAAACCCTAAACCCTAAACCCTAAACCCTAAACCCTAAACCCTAAACTCTAAGCCATTACCGCTGGCGATGATGGCGTAGTTAGGCACATTATGGACTGCGGCTTGTTGGAACACGCGTTGTTCCACAATCCAGTGTTCGAACAACGAAGCCTGAAACACGCGTCACGCAGGGAGTTTGGCCGGAGAATGGGCGAAATGATGCGGTGTTACGAGTGGGGATGCTCAATGGATTTCGGGGCCTTCGACGGGTCTTGCACCAAGGAGTGCCGTGACCTGATCGAGAATGATATAGTGCTGTCACTCTTCATGAAGCTCCTGGATGTGGAGTCAGAGGACGGTCTGCTCCACGCTGCTGTGCGCGATCGCATAAAGAACAAGGCCAACATATCGGTCAAGAATGTGGTCAAGGCGGTTGTGTGGGACATGATTCGGGAATCTGGCGACAGGGGGACGAGCATATTGAACTTCCTGACCAATTTGACGCTCTTTTACGCAAACATGTCCCTGCAGCTGGAGAAGCGTGGTGTCAAAGAGAAGACCATCAAGAAGATGATCCAGCAGAGCATTGCCACAGGAGACCTTGCCAACTTAATGGGTGAGGGCGATGACGGGCTCCAGGTGTTCAGGGATGCCTTCATAAGGCTTATCGGCGACACGCACACCTTTGGCAAGGACTGGTGCGATGGTTATGCCGAGTTTGGCTTTAAAATCGAGCCGCAGGGTCCGGAAGGGGACCTCAGCTTCGATGAATGCATCGTACGCACCTCCGAGAGGATGGAGTTTTGCTCCAAGGTGGCTGTATCTGTGGGCGACGAGACACTGTTTTTCCCAAAACTTGGGAAGCTCAGCAACTCCCTCACGGTGTCATTCGACACCAGCTCGAGCCGGTCGGATGCAGGCTTCACGAAGGCCGTGGCGATGATGTCAAACTGCATCCATCAGCCATTGCTTTTTGAGCTTTGCCGGTCCATCGCGGAGGGACACAAAGCAGATGGCGCTGAGTTGGATGTCAAGTCCTTGAGGAAGATGATGGGACCACACGAGATGGTTGAGCCCCACGGTTACATGGAGCGGTTGATAGTTGAGCACACTTGCTTCATCGAAGACTCAGATGCGCCTGCGCACATGATGAAGGCGCTTGAGAGGGAAACTGGTATCTCAGTGGCAGACCAGGAAGAAGCCATGATTGGTCTGAGGACCGGCAACCGGGAGACGGTGACCGCGTGCCTCAAGGCGCTAAGGCAGTAGGCCAAGATGGCGGACCTGAGCAAGTCCTAAAACTGCTCATGCTGGAGAGTGCCCATGCACGTGGGAGCGCCACCGGGGTGACGCCAAACACTCCTCACCTAGTCCTCACCTGGTGAATGTAGCGGTGTCAAAAGGCGAACCAGACGTCAATTGCCTGACCAGGGCAAGCACCTAGCACTTCCGATGAGTCCGCAGACTAGGGCAGTCGCTCGGACGAAAGACCTCTGTCGTGGTGAGGGTGACACCTGCTTACGAGGGCAACGACAGGGTGGGGCAGCGGTAATGTGACCCTTGGCGTGGCGGCTGAGGCTGCAATGCGCCGGTCATGACCTTCTGGTGAATGCGAATAAACGCAACGTGGGCATAGTGGTCGTGCAAACATTATGTTCCATAGCTGTCCTGAGAAGGCTACGGGGTATGACTCGTGCCTAGTGGAACCGGTGGTTCCCACCCAGCGGTGCACCTATTGTCATCTTTCATGTGTCCGACGTGGTTAGTTTTCCGGCATGAACGGTGGTAGGGTGGCCGAAAAGTATCCGATGAATTGGCTGGCTACCAAATCAGAGGACTGGGTAATGTACATATTTGGCTAGTAGAAACGCGAGCGGAGAGCGAGTTGTTACATGGGTGTCGCCATGTGGCCGTGAGTCTCACATTGACTACGTTGTTTACCCGGATGCCATTGGGCGGGAGGTGCAGACTGTTGGAGTGCCTGCAGGTTTCGTTGATCCTCTGGGATATGACCACAGACCTTTGCAAGTGAGTTTGAAGTGGACGCAGTTGGCGGGAAACAAGTCGCCCGTACCCCGGTGGGATAGGACTGCTATGAAAACTGAGTGGGGTAGACAAGTGATTGCCGATCTCCATCGCAACGCCCCGCAGACGTCTTGGAGCACGGATCCTGATAGGCACCTCCACATCCTGAACGAACATTACTATCAAGGTTTGCAGCGTTCGACATGAAGACAGATGCAACACCCTCGATCTGCTTGCGCAACTTGCCTCACAGGGGTTTGTTACGCCAGAAGCCGGCTTGTGTGCCGGTGCTGTTTGGGTGCACAGCGATGGAGTGCACCTCTTGCATTGCGTCTTGCGCTGAGCGCAGACTACGAATTTAAGCGCGCGGCCCTCAGTGAGTCACCAGCATCAATCAGAAGAAGAAACCCTAAGCCATGAGCCCTAAACCCTAAGCCATGAGCCCTAATTCCCAAACCCAGGGGCGTCCTTGTGTATCTTACTCATACAGACACACGATGACAACCAAGAGCAAGTGTCATGGGTGGGTTTTGGTGTTTAGTGGTAGGGGTTTAGGGGTTTAGGGGTTTAGGGGTTTAGGGGTTTAGGGGTTTAGGGGTTTAGGGGTTTAGGGGCTTAGGGGTTGAGGGGTCTAGGGGTTTAGGGGGGTTTAGGGGTTTAGAGGTTTAGGGTTTAGGGTTCAGGGTTTACGGTTTGCACGTTCAAGCTTCAGGCGCAAAGTTCGAGCCTAAACCTTGGACCCTAAACCTACACAAGCATCCACAAAGCCTCTGTAGTGTAAACCCTCCGGTTTAGGTTTGTTCTTGGGTTTAGGGTTTAGGGTTTCGGGTTTAGGGTTCAGGGTTTAGGGTTTAGGGAAGCACAGCTGCAGCGCCTTCACCTCACTTAACTCAACCCCCAGAGACGCGTAGCACGCTTTGGGATGACCCGGGTTTAGGGTTTCGGGTCTAGGGCTTAGGCAAAGGCATTCTTTGCCCACTCGCCCGTGCTTTCATGTTTTCGACACCTAACTTGCTTGTTAGAGTCTCCTAACCCTCCTATTGTAAAAGGGCTGGGGTACATACACGCCTCTAGGAAAACCCTGAGCGCTAACCCCGACCTAAAGCCTAAATCCCAGTAACCCTGAACCCCAAAACCCTAAATCCTATATTAACCCTAAACACGAAACCAGAAAGCCTGTATTAACCCCAAACCCCAGTAGCCCTATTCAGCCTAAACCCCAATAACCCTAAACCCTCCCTAAACCCCAAACCCTAAACCCTAAGCCCTAAACCCGAAACCCTAAATCCCAATAACCCCAAACCCTAAACCCTCAACCCTAAACCCCAATAACCCTAATCCCTCCCTATACCAGGAGGACCAGGCCTTTCTCGCGGGCTTCCGTCTAACTGGCGCTGAGGCTGAGAAAGGGAGACTGCTGGTGTCTGAATGGTTGTAGGGTTGAGGGTTTAGGGTTTGGGGTTTAGGTTTTAGGGTTTAGGGCTTAGGGTTTAGGGATTCGGGTTTAGGCAATATGTTCGTTATCCTGAATACGGTTACAGTTACCTGTTGTTCTATGTGGGGAACACAGCCCCCTTGTCTACTTGAAGGCCTAAACCCTACTTCCCAAACCCCTCGGGCTTTTGGGGTGCTGTTTAGGGAACTCAGATCGAGTTGCCATAATGTGGATGTAGATTATATGTAGTTCCTTAACCTGAGCCCAGATGATAAGGTTTCCATTCCTTTCTACAATCGTAGAAAAGGGGTTCTCTAAAAGGAGCCCAAAAGCACCTAAACTCCCTAACCCTTAAAGCCACTATTCCCCCTTCCTCCTCAACTCTCCCTCCTCGGAAGCCCCCATCCCCCTTCAGCCCTGAGATCCTCAAATCCTAACCCCCCAAACCCGAAACCTCAAACCCTAAGCCCTGAAGGTCATAGGATTCCGGGCTGAGGGTTGCTGTAGAGAGTTGGGGGTAAAGATAAAGTTGGCTCTCTGGATTTAGGGTGGCGAAGTGGGTGTTTATGGCTTTGGGCTGTTTAGGGTTTAGGCGTTGAGAGTTTGCTGTAGAGAGTTGGGGCATAAAGTTGACTCTCCGGATTTAGGGTGGCGGAAGGAGTGTTTGCGGCTTTGGGGTTTAGGGCGTAGGTCCGGAGCACCGCCGAAGTCCCAAGAAGGAAAGCTGCTGAGTTAGGAGCCAAAAAAGGACTTCAGGGCGTCCTGGGGCACAAAAGCCAAGCCATCTCGTATCAAATCGGATTTATGCTACTGTTATTTCCTTTCTAATATTGGTGAGTGTATATGTTGGGCATCCTTTTGGGGGTACAAGAAAATGAGGTGCCCTACTTCATATGGGGTTTACGATATGGGGTGTACCTTATTGGGTCCTCATTATCAGGGAAGCCTACGATTTGGGGGTCATGCTGGGTGTACCTTATTTTCGTAAACCTCCATATCCCTGAACGCCAAACCCGTGCAGGTTGAGGTTTTCGGGCAGGCTGCTTGCTGCTGGCCCATTCCTACGCCCACTAGCGGTGAGGGTGCATGGGTAGCCCCAGTAATGACTTTGTTCAGGTTTCGGTTTTTCGGGGTGTAGTATTTAGGCTTTGTGGGTTGCAAGATGTTGCAAGGAGGGAGCCGCAAACCTTGCGGCCCTGCTTACAACCCTAAACCCTAAACCCTAAACCCTAAACCCTAAACCCTAAACTCTAAACCCTAAACCCTAAACCCTAAGCCCTACACCCTACACCCCATAACAGGTTTCCGGGACATCTGACGAGTCAGACTGGGAGAGCGTCGAGCAGTCGTACACCAATGCAGCTTTGGCGAATTTGACCCCCGCCTAAGAGGTTTAGGGTTTCAGGTTTAGGGGGTGGTGGGGGGCAGGGGTTCGGGCAGGGTTTGATGGGCACTCGCTAGCCCCACAGCTCCCCCAAACGCCATCTATTCAAACACCCTGACAGCGATTGAAATGGCGGCAAGTGCCTCAATGATGTTTGATGTTGCCGAGATGTGCATGAATCAACTATGGGGCATGTCTCCGCAATCACCTGCAGGAGTAGGGTTCGAATTCGAGAGTAGATGTTGTAGTGTCTGCTGGGACGACAGTGTACCAGATGGCTTTCGCAGCTGGCCCTTCGAGCGGCCTGTCGCAGGCGGTGCGTGAGTCGAGCGTCGGTTGCTTGAAGGACACGAAGGTCACTTCGACAGTGACGAAATCACCCTGTGAAGGTAGCAGTGTGACTACAGGCTATGACCCCCCCTCCCCCTCAGTGTCCGAGAGGCAACGGCAGTGGCGGTGGCGCGCTCTCCGGCGCCTCGCACACCGAGGATCGGATCGCCTCTGAGGAGACGCGAGAAGCTGCAGGGCTTTGCAAGGCAGGCGCCGGATGGGCGCCGGGAGGATGCTCCAAAGGAGGTCGAGGCCAAGTCTTTGGGTCTCCACGGGCCCAGGGAGTCTCTGGGCAGCTTTGGCCATCCGAACTCTTGCAAGCCCTGCAGCTTCTACTGCTTCTGCCATAGCGGCTGCCGATTGGATCGCGACTGCCACTTCTGCCACCTGTCCCACGAGTCGAAGCGCCAGAAGCGCCAGGAGGAGTGGAAGCGGAAGCGGCCGGCGAGGCCGCGCCGCAGAGCGGCCGAGCGAGCTCCGGAACTCCCACCACATACTGGGAATTTTCGACCTCCTCCTGGGCTCCCACCACCTAGCATGGAGCCGCCGACCTGCACGACGTCCGCGCTGGAAGAGTCGATCCAGCAGGTGTCGCGCGACACGGCCCTCGTGACGTCCATGCTCTCCGTGCTTTCCATTGCGCCCACCGCGCAGCAGCTGACCTCGCTCGCCGTGGTGCCAGCCGGGTGCGCTTCAAGTTCCACGACGCCCTTGCCGGCTATGCCTCCTATGCCTCCTATGCCTCAGGCTCGAGGACTGAGCCCCCAGTGGCTCAATGCATGGATCAGTTTGGCCGAATCTACCCTCCGCGGCTCTGTGTGATCAATTGACCTTTGAGTTTACAGTTTCACAGTAAACAAAGTCATAACGTACTTCAATCACACACACTTGCACGGCCCTTCTCTCCTACTTGTCGTGGCCGCGTGGCCAGTGCATGACAGCCTTTGTCAACCCTTGAGGCAGTGCACATTTGCCGAGTACGAGGTTTACAGTGTGCGCACGACCCTAAACCCTAAACCCTAATTCCTGAACCCTACCCCCTAAACCCTGAACCCTAAACCCTAGACCCTAAACCCTAAACCCTAGCTTGTGAGGATCCACGTCGCTAAGCGTGCATCATCTGCTTCTTTCACGAGTTCTTCCCTCGGCATCTGCCTCACGAACGGGCCCTGGTTTAGGGTTTAGGGTTTAGGGTTTAGTGTTTAGGGTTTAGGGTTTGCCTTCGCAGACTTCGGGGCTCCGAGAGCCCTTTTCCCCATGAATTTGACTCCGTGCACAGTGCAACTCTGGGGGTCTAGGGTTTATAGGGTTTAGGGTTGTAGGTTTAGGGTTTTAGGTTTAGGGTTTAGGGTTTCAGGTGTTTGGCTTGATCCTTACGTATGAAATGAGTCGTTGTGTTGTATGAGTAGTTTTTTTGGGGGTTTAAGGTTTAAGGGTGATGCTTCGGGGTTTTAGGGTTTCGGGTCCTAGGGTGCAGGGTTTTCAGGTTTCTGGTTCCTAAACCCTAAACCCTAAACCCTAAACCCTAAACCGTAAACCCTAAACCCTAAACCCTAAACCCCAAACCCCAAACCCTAAACCCTAAACCCTAAACCCTAAACCCTAAACCTTGAACCCTGAACCCTAAACCCTAAACCCTAAACCCTAAACCCTAAACCCTAAACTCTCAACCGTTTGGGGCTTTTTGGTCACTTCCTCTGGATCCTCGACTTGCTTTCTGGCAGGAAACAGCTGCCAAGGCCCTATATAATTCCATTTTAGCCTGGGCATGTGAGGGGCCAGAAAGGGTTTAGGGTTTAGGGTTTAGGGTTTAGGGTTTAGGGTTTAGCGTTGTTGGGGTTTAGAAAATCAGGAACTCAGGGACGTAGTTCAGACGTAGAGAATCGGCTGCTTTCCTTGCTTTTGCCCTGACAGCCCATGCTCGCTGGAGCTTCAATCTCGTTTCCGAAGATCCACAGTCGTGTTGTAGGTCTACTATGCCACGCATTAGGACTTTCAGGGTTTGGGGTATAGGATTCAGGTTTGCACGTGTGTATGCCCACAGGTGCAACGCCGTAGTGCCACGGCGTCTGGCCGTCCCTTCTTTGCCTAGGGGAGTTGCATCTGCAGTCATCCGATCGTTTGTGTGGAAACTTATGCGTTGCTGACGAACCATGCGAAGCTGACTCGAGTCATATCCTTGTCGTTGTGATGAGTCGATGAGAATATGAGCTAAACCCTCAACCCCAAACCCTAGACCCTAAACCCTAGACCTTCAACCCTAGATCCTAAACCCTACACCCCAAAAGGAAGCCAGAGGGTCATCTGTTGGTTCGAGCACCTTCCGTGCAAGCACAGCTGACCCTCCGAGCGGATGCACTGACTCCGTGAAGGGTTGACCCGAAAAACGGTCACGCAGCAGTCTGCATCCTTGGGAGCAGTTTCCCGTTCCAATAGGGTTTAGGGTTTAGGGTTTAGGGGTTTAGGGTTTAGGGTTTAGGGTCTAGGGTTTAGGGTTTAGGGTTTAGGGTTTAGGGTGTAGGCTGTATCTGACGGTAGTTTCATGGGCCCTTAATATGGTCCCTAACCCCCTTTACAAGGTTGTGATGTATAGGGTATACAAGGGTACATCAACAAGGGACCATGTAGCTATCCTTAGAGATCCTTAGAGTGTAGGGTTTAGGGTTGTTAGGGTTCAGGGTTTAGGGTTTAGGGTTTAGGGTTTAGGGTTTAGGGTTCGAAGCCAAAGCTTGGATCGGTGTGGACGCCCGACTGCGTCGTCCAAACTCAATGACGCTCATGGCAACGATCGTCAGACTGCACGCAGCCTCGAGAAGAAAGCAGGTCCTGATCCTTGAGTGCTGGGTTTAGGGTTTAGGGTTTAGGGTTTAGGGTTTAGGGTTTAGGGTTTAGGGTTTACTTGGAGGTTCATGGGTACTTCAAAACCACAACTATAAATCTACTTGTAACCTGCTTGGGGGGGACTTAGGGGGCTGATAAGTGCAGTTATAGTTTGGGGTTATAGGTACCATGAACCTCCAAGAAGGGTTTAGGGTTAATGGGTTTAGGGTGCTTTGCCCCCTTTGTTTTCATCCTGCCCTGGCATTCGTGATGCATATGGCCTCAGCATGAAGAGACATCTCCAAGGTGAACAAATACCCTAAACCCTAAACCCGAAACCCCAAACCCTAAACCCTAAGCCATTGACCCTAAGCCCTAAAGCCTAAAAAGCCTGAGCCTTGCAAAGCCAAGGTGCGGAGCAACCCCTGGAACCGGGAGTCACGCGGCTGGCAGTCACAGCTGTCAGAGCTCAAGGAGGCTCAGCGAGGGGGTGGCGACGTGGGAAGGGGGGGGGGGGTTTGGGGGAGTAAGCTCGAAACCCTAAACCCTAAACCCTAAACCCTAAACCCTAAACCCCAAACCCTAAACCCTAAGCCCTAAGCCCTAAACCCTAAACCCTAATCCCCCAGGCACCCGTAGCCAGGCCCTACCTGGCTGCCCTTCAAATTGCTCAGGGCCGGACCTTACATCCTTAAAGCGCTACCCCTGGGAACCTCCTGAAACCGCAAAACCCTAAACCCTGAATCCCAAACCCGAAACCCTAAACCCTAAACCCTAAACCCTACACCCTAAACCTAAACCCTAAACCCTAAGCCCCAAACCCTAAACCCGAAACCCTAAACCCTGAACCTTGTTGTGAGTATCTGGCCTCTCAGGAGCTTATGCTCGTGGATGCTAAGCCCTCCCTGGCGTCGCCCAAAGCAGGTGCGGCCGTTGATGGGGTGTTTTTTTTTGCTTTCAGGGTCTAGGGTCCAGGGTTTAGGGTTTAGGGTTAGGGTTTGGGGTTCAGGGGTTGGGGTTGAAGGTTGAGGGTCTACTTGGAGGTTCAGGGTACTTAGTAACCCAACTATAAGTGTAGTTCTAGCCCACAAATAAGCCCCTGAAGTACCCTAATGGGGTTATATTTGGGTTTTAGGTACAGTTCTGATTGGGTCGACGGTACGTAATATAGCGGCCTGAATAGGGTTAGTTTTGTATAATTACAAAGGGACCACAAGGGAGCATGATTCCGACCCCTGTAGTACCCTGAACCCTAACAGTTAAATCCCCCCTTGAAACGTGAGGGTTGATGTAAGGGCGGGGGGTTCAAATTCTGGGCTAGCTCATGCCACATCTCACTTGTACTTATTGCTTTCAATGCGAAGACATTGAGAATCAGGTACCAAAAAATCAAACCCCCATGCATGTGTGTGCATGTATGTATTCCCAGCACAGAACCACTAAGCCAAACAGTCGGGATCCGTGTCGGTTCAGCTTAAGACTGCATTGCCGTGCTTGCGGGGCGCATGTTTCAGCATTCCCGTTGGGCACAGATCGTGTATGTGGAAGCAGACATTTCGTCGTTCATTGGTTCAGGGATTAGGGTTTAAGATTTATATAGGGCTCCCAAACTCAACCCCATTTAGGACATCGACCAGAGGGGCGGAACATTTTTTCAATGCTATCCCCTTATGGCCCCTGTCTAATTTAGCTATAATCCCCCCCCCTCCCAAAAAAACAAACCCTATTTGGGGTTGTTAGAGTCCCCTATATTCAGTGGGTTTGTCGCCCCCTTTCATGGTGTATTCATATTATAATGTCCATAAACCCTAAACCCTGAACCCTAAACCTTAAACCCTAAACCCTAAACCCTAAAACCTAAACCCTAAACCCTAAACCCTAAACCCTAAACCCTAAACCCTAAACCCTAAACCCTAAACCCTAAACCCTAAACCCTACTCGAACATTCAGGCCTTTGTAATTACCAGTGAGCGAGCCATGAAACTCAGTGGAGGTGACCTTGGCGAGCTGCCGCTGACTGAGGAGGTCCCTCTCCCTAAGTTTCGGGTTTAGGTTTAGGGTTTAGGGTTTAGGGTTTGGGGTTTAGGGGTTGTGGTTTAGGGTTTGGGGTTTGGGTTTGGGGTTTGGGGTTTAGGGTTTGGGGTTTAGGGTTTGGGGGAACCCGAATCTACTTCTGTGTAGGCGATTCTGAAAAAAAGGCCTTATCGGATTCTTCGGCAACCTGGAAAAGGGTGGGTGTTGGGCTCTAAAGCTCAGCTACTTACAGGGGCCCAAGAAGGCCCGCGCGCTTGTCGCCTGGAGTTGTCCGAGAGGGTTCGGCAAGTTTTCGGGCGTCTTGACAATGTTTCGCGTGGTGCGCCCTGAACACCCGAAACCCTAAATCCTAAACCCCAAACCCCAAACCCCAAACCCTAAACCCTAAACCCTAAACTTGCCGGATCCTGTGCATCCCACGATTGCACACAGAGGGCCTTAATCGGCTCGACTGTCCGGGGGTTCGGGAGGGAGAGGGTCCGACGTTGCAGGGTTGCTGAAGGTGAGGGCCTTGATGTCCCCCCAACAAATGGCGGGCGGCACTGCACTATAAAACCCTCCTACGCCATAAACGAAAAAATGAAAGTTTAAAAGCACCCTCAACCCTGACACTGCAGGCCCCAAAGCCCCCAAACCTAGCCCTCCACCCTAAACCCTGAACCCTAAACCCGAAAGCCAATCCGCAGGAGTGCCTGAGCCGTATCAAAGCCGTGCTGACGGCCCTTCGCCTGGTGAACTTCCGTGGCTTCGGGATGAAGGTTTGGGGGTTTACGGTTTGGGGGTTTAGCGTTTGGGGGGTTTGGGGGGTTTGTGCAGGTTTTATGATTTTAGGGTTTTGTGCCTGTCATGATTGATCAAGCATGCTGATGAAAAGACCGAAACACCCAAACCCACAGAGCCACCCCTCAAGAAGCCCCCCAAGCCCACGTTAAGAAGCTCAACCCTCAACCCTCAACCCTCAACCCTCAACCCTCAACCCTCAACCCTCAACCCTCAACCCTAAACCCTGAACCTTGTAACCCAAAACCCTAAACCCTCCGCACCCCCCCCCCCCCTCCCTCGCTCCCCACCTTTCAGAGGATGAATCCTTGGAGGAGCTTAAGGTGCCCTCTTTACTCAGAGGGTTTGGGGTTTAGGGTCTCGGGGTTTAGGGTTTAGGGTTTAGGGTTTGGGGTTTTAGGGGTTTAGGGTTTAGGGGTTTAGGGTTCAGGGTTTGGGGGAACACAAGCTTCTCGCAGCCGTCGTAGCTCCAAGATGAACCTCCCCTAAGCCTTCAACCCTCGACCCTGAACCCTAGACCACAAACCCTAAACCCTAAACCCTGCGTACCTGGCACTATACGATGGCCCGAAGCTGCAAGCCCCCCAAAGACCATACCCCAAAGTCGGGAGTGCCAGGGTTTAGGGTTAGGGCTTGGGGTTTGTAGGGGTTTAGGCCCCTAAACCCTTAAACCCAAATCTCCGGCACAACCCGCAATCCGAAAACCCCAAACCCTAAACCCCAAACCCCAAACCCCAAACCCCAAACCCTAAACCCCAAACCCTAAACCCGGAACCCGGAACCCTAAACCCTAAACCCTAAACCCCAAACCCTGAACCCCAAACCCCAAACCCTAAACCCCAAACCCTAAACCCCAGACCCGGAACCCTAAACCCTAAACCCTAAACCCTAAACCCCAAACCCTGAACCCTTAACCCCAAACCCTAAACCCCAAACCTGAACCCTTAACCCTAAACCCTAAACCCCAAACCCTGAACCCTTAACCCCAAGCCCAAAGCCCGTACACCCTGAACCCTGAACCCTAAACCCTAAACCCTGGACCCTAAACCCTAAACCCTAAACCCTAAGCCCTAAACCCCAAGCCCCTAAACCCCAAGCCGCCAAGGAGTTCTGTGAAGCCGCCGATGCGGGAGACCAGAGTTCTGGGCGTCCAGCAGGGTGCTTAGGGTTTAGGGCTTAGGGCTTAGGGTTGAGGGTTTAGGGTTGAGGGTTTAGGGTTTAGGGTGTTCCAAAGTGCCGCGGTCCCGACCCGCGCCAGGGGCGGGTCGGGCCACCTCGGTGCAGCGGATCCCACCCCAGCCACCCAAACTACCGCCTTTTTCGGGTTTAGAGCGGTCTACCCTCCACAGCCCCCCTATCAAGGGGGCTTACACCTCGAGTCTCCCCGCTGGCCGGGGTGGGACGTGTTGACTGCTGCTGTTGCTTGAGCCTATACACTTTCCTGGATCAACAGGGAGCGGGACAATCTGTTTCACCCATACTGTGTTTAAGACACCCTCAAGCCCAATTCCGGACCCAAGCTCATTCATATGGCAGAATGGCGAGGGCCAAGCGCGGAAGGTGGTCTTTGTTGACAGGACCTCCTATGCTGGGGTCGCGCGTCTTGGGCCCGGCCTCCCCACCGACCGGGGTCGCGCAAGGGCCGGCGGGGGGCAACCCTGGCGGGCGGCGACCCTAACGGAGCGTGGCGGGGGCAACCCTGGCAATAGCAAGGGCAACGCAAGGGCAGCCCTGGCGGGGGCAACCCCGCTGGTGGGGGCAACCCCGGCACGGGCAAGGGCCCTTCCCGCATCTGGGGCCCATATATGGCACAAGAAGCCCTGCCCGGCAACAAAACAACGCTTCATAGAGAAGGACGACGAAGCCTCGCCAGCACGCGAGGAGGACGAGGCCGTCGCAGAGAAGGTGCACAATTCCTGAGTAGGCGACGTGAGGAGGCGTGGAACCCTGACAGGGCAACCTGGCGAGGGCAATGTCACCCTGGCGGGGTCAACCCTGGCGGAACCCTGCCAAGGGCAACCCTAACTCGGCGGCAACCCTGGCGGGGGCAACGCTGGTGGGGGCCAGCCCTGGTGGGGGCAACCCTGGCAGGGGTACAACTGGGCAACCCGGCGGGGTTGCGATAGAAACCATTAAATCTACTGGACGTCTTAATTTAAAAATAGAATGACATTGAAAGACTTCTCATAAAGTAAAATAGGATGAAGATAGAAGTAAATAAGAGAATGAATCCTGCATTTTTATTTGGTACAGCTTTTAACATAGCATATTGGCATAAGAAATACCATTCAGGTACGATATGTAAAGGAGTAAGTAATCCACATGCTTCTAATGCATTATCTGGATGTGAGAAAGAAGAGAAGCCGAAATGAATTTGAAGAAGATATAGATAGAGAATTAATATCTTTCCATAGAAACCTTTACTAATAATGAAAGGAAAAGTGCTATTTTCTTATTAGTGGGATTCCTCAAGGAATATTAGAAGATAGAAAATGTAGCTTAAAAATATGAAAAATGGCGGGGGCAAACCTCGGGGCAACCCTGGCGGGGGCAACCCTGGTGGGGGCAAGCCTGGCGGGGGCAACCCTGGCAGGGGCAACCCTGGTGGGGGCAACCCTGGTAGGGCAACTCTGGCGGGGGGCAACCCTCACGAAGGCAACCCTTGGCGGGGGCAACCCTGGCGGGGGCAACCTGGCGGGGGCAACCCTGGCGGGGGCAACCCTGGCGGGGGCAACCCTCCTCTTCATGTGCCCCGCCTTGTTTCGGTGCGTTTCGCCGTGTTTTGCCATGTTTCGCTGTGTTTCGCCGTGTTGCACTGTGTTGCGCTGTGTTTGGCCGCGTTTTGCTGTGTTTCGCTGTGTTTTGCAGTGTTTCGCTGTGTTTCGTTTGCTCCCCAGTTGGTGGGGTTTTAGTGTTTGACTCAGCTATTCTCCTGGCCCGGGTTTCCTAGAAAGCCCAAACCGTCTTCTTCTTCTTCTTTTTGATTATGAGAATTGCTGATCTCGAAAATGACAAGCAAAAGGGTTTGGGGTGTGGGGATGGACGTCTGGCGGGGGAATCCTGGCGGGGGCAACCCTGGCGGGGGCAACCCTGGCGGGGGCAACCCTGGCGGGGGCAACCCTGGCGGGGGCAACCCTGGCGGGGGCAAGCCTGGCGGGGGCAACCCTGGTGGGGGCAACCCTGGCGGGGCAACCCTGGCGGTGGCAACCCTGGTGGGGGCAAGCCTGACAGGGGCAACCCTGGCGGGGGCAACCCTGGCGGGGCAACCCTGGCGGGGGCAACCCTCGCCGACGAGGCAACCCTGGCTTTGGCAGCCCTTTCAACCCGGCGGGGGCAACCCTGCGGGGGCAACCCTGGCGGGGGCAACCCTGGCAGGGGCAACCCTGGCGGGGGCAACCCTGGCGGGGGCAACCCTGCCGGGGCAACCCTGGCGGGGGCAACCCTGGCGGGGGCAACCCTGGCGGGGGCAACCCTGGCAAAAGCAACCTGGCGGGGGCAACCCTGGCGGGGGCAACCCTGGCGGGGGCAACCCATGGCGGGGGCAACCCTGGCGGGGGCAACCCTGGCGGGGGCAAAGTGAGGTATAAACGTATGTGTATATATATATATATAGATATATATACATGGAGTCTCAAAGGAGCTGGCAGGGGCCACTAATGGAGAACTTTGGCAGGGCCCTTCATAGAGAAGCCTGAATAGGCGAGGCCAATTCCCGGGGACCAACCCAAGTAGGCTGGCGGGGGCAACCCTGTCACCCTGGCGGGGGCAACCGTGGCGAGGGCAACCCTGGCGGGGGCAACCCTGGCGGGGGCAACCCTGGCGGGGGCAACCCTGGTGGGCTGGTGGGGGCAACCCTGGTGGGGGCAACCCTGGCGGGGGCAAGCCTGGCAGGGGCGCAACGGCTTCTTAGGCCCGACCTCCCCCGCCGGGGTCGCGCGTCGGGGGTTTAGGGTTAATCCATTATTACACTGTGCCCTATGGCTAGCAGGGATGCATCAGGTGTGGCAAGCTCGATCTGCTTGGCAAAGCAAGCAGATCTCGAAGCGGTAGCGTTCAGTTGTACCGGCCGCCGCCTGGCGCGGGCGGCCTATGGCCTAGTGTTTAGGGTTTAGGGCCTAGGGTTTAGGTTGAGGGTTGAGGGTTTATGGTTTGGGCTTAAGGGTTTAGGGCTAGGGCTTTGGACTTAGGGCTTAAGGTTCAGGGCTTGGGGCTTAGGGTTTACGAAGGTGCCTAGGGTTTAGGGTTTAGGGCTCAGGATTTAGGGCTTAGGATTTAGGACTTCGGGTTTTGGGTTGAGGGTTTAGGGTCGAGGCTTTACGGCTTTCAGGTATTCGGGATTGGGGTTCTGGAGCAGGGTTCAGGTACCCTTTTGGGGGATGTTGACCCCATTGAAGACATTGATGGTACGCTGTTTAGTCCTAGGGCTCAATCCAAAACCCCACAGCCTCAACCCTCAACCTTACACCTCAACACCGTCAACCCTCAACACTAACGCCCTCATCCCTTCTCAGTTCTTCTCGTTTTACCTCACTCCCCAGACCCTAAGCACGCCGACCCTCAACTTGGGGGTTTAGGGTTGTGGCAGGCAAGCATCCACACACTCTACTCGCCGAAGCAGCTTTCAAGACTGGTGACTTTCGACTTTGGGGGTGGGGTGCTCCATTCGGCTTCTGGCTATGGCACCTCAGGTGTTTAGGCTGTGGAGGTTGGAGGCTCAATTGGGGATAATATAGTACCCCTCCGATTATCATCCCTATCAAGGAGCTGTTAGTACAAGGGGGAACACCCCAGGGTTCAGTGACGGACGATGGCTGTGCGAGGCCCTCTGCTCGCAGCCGCAGCTGGAGTCAGCGCTGGCAGACGTTTGCCGGAGGTGCCCGCTATCAAGAAGGGCTTAGAGGGTTCAGGGTTTAGGGTTTAGGGTTCAGGGTTTAGAATATTTACTAGTAGTATTTCCTTATGGTCCCTATATGAATGCACTACGAGAACCCCCAAAGCCCTCTTTAAATTAATAAGGCCCCTAGAGTACTGTCTGCTGAAGAACCCCCTCCCCCCCCCTCCCCCTAAAACAATAGAAATACTCTTCCTTATTATCAGAGCAATTTGGGGGAACAGTAGCCTTTGTTTTCTGAGTGTTCTTACGCAAGTGGTAGGTTTCGGTGTCCGGGCACAGGGTTGAGAGGAGCGCGGGGTTTAAGTTTGAAGGTAGAGGGCAACAATCTTGACGGTCCATATGGGCTGAGGTTGAGTGGCTCTCTCTGCATGTTCACCCCAAGAGACTAAACCCCCAAAACCTTCTCTACCTACGAAGATGCAATGTTTGAGCCTTCAGGGGGTCCCGCAAGGCTCCTGAAACGTGTCTGGGACCCTCCTAGGACCTTCCTGGGGGCTCGGCCACTTTTCCCCGAATCTGAGGGCGTTCCCTGACAGAGGAAGTTTTTTGGAAGCACGCATGTAGAGGTGCCGAGTAAGTAAGAAAAATGGATGTTTAATTCACATAACATTGGAATTCTGGGAGGGTGGGGTGATACCAAAAGCTCGTTACGTAAAGGGGCCTTGCACATCGCCAGCCCAGCCCAATCGTAGACCCCTAACCCTAAAGTTCCTGAGTTGTTGCCTCAGCCTAAACCCTAAACCCTAAACCCTAAACCCTAAACCCTAAACCCTAAACCCTAAACCCTAAACCCTAAACCCTAAACCCAAAACCCTAAACCCGAAACCCTAAACCCTAAACCCGAAACCCTAAACCCTAAACCCTAAACCCTAAACCCTAAACCCTAAACCCTAAACCCTAAACCGTAAACCCTAAACCCTAAACCCTAAACCCTAAACCCTAAACCCTACACCCTAAACCCTAAACCCTACGCCCGAAAAATGAGCAGCCTGTGCTCCCCCCCCCCCCCTCCCGCCCTCCTCTCTCCCGAAGCCCCCGCTGCCAGGTTACCCCCACTTCTGCGAATGCCGTTGAAGCCTGAAGATCAGGCGTTGTTGAGGGTTTAAGATTCGGGTTTAGGGTTTTGGGTTTAGGGTTTGGGGTTGAGGGTTGAGAATGACACATGGTACCCCTTATGGTCCCTGTAAGGGTTTATGAGTTTAGGGTATACTTGAAGGTTCATGGGTAGTTATCTTTGGGGTTATGAGTAGGGTAACTATAAGTTTATCTGGTTATACCCTTATTTAGGGTACTTCTAACCCTACTTATAACTACCTTGAACCTCCAAGTAGGGTTTGGGGTTCAGGCTTCCGTGCTCAGGGGTCAGGTTGGAGGCAGAATGGCCGATCACAGTTTCGGGTTCGACATTAGAGTTTCTGGGGTTTAGGGTTTAGGGTTTAGGGTTGCTGCTACGTAGGGTCCATCAGAATGGGGGAAGACTTGAACAGCACCGTAAAACCTTAAGCCCTAAACGCTTAACCCTAAACCCTAAGCCCTAAACCCCTAAACCCTTGTGGTTCCTCTAGAGTGCCGCGGGGCTTTGAAAGGAAGGTTTGGGAGGGTTTAGGGTTTGGGGTTTAGGGTTTGGGGTTGGGGGGTCTAGGGTGTGGGGTGTTTGCGCTGTTGCCTTCTGGGTCTTGCTCGTTTCCAAAGTCTTTAAGGCCCCAAAATCTTACGGGTTCAGAGTGCTGGCGAAACCCTCAACCCAAAACCCTGGACCAGAATCCCTCAACCCTGCACTCAAGCCATGGGGCTAGCTTTGACAGCCGAAACCCCCTGAACGCCCTAACGGACACACCCTGTAACTCCGCACAGCCCTGAGCAGATTACAAGACCTAAACCCTGAACCCTAAACCCTAAACCCTAAACCCTAAACCCCAAACCCCAAACCCTAAACCCTAAACCCCAAACCCTAGACCCTAAACCCCAGACCCTAAACCCTAAATCCTAAACCCTAACCCGCAAACCCTAAATCCTAAACCCTAGCCTTTTGAAGACCGTGCATCTCGCTTTCCATTGCAGGTCAAGGACGACTTTGGCACTGGAACCGGGGGCTTCAACCGGAGGTTTAAGCGCCCCTTGGCCGATGTCTTGTTTTTTTTTTTTTTTTTTTGTGGGGGGGGGGGGGGGGGGGGTTTTAGGGTTTAGGGTTTCAGGCTTAGGGGGGTTTTAGTTTTTTTTTTTGGGTTTGGGGTTTAGGTTTTCGGGCTTAGGGTTTAGGCTCAATGGTTTCTCGGGTTAAGGCTAAGAGCCTTAACCCCGAAAGCCCGAGTCCCTCTGAGGCTTCATGCTCAAGAGCCAAAGCCCTTGAACACCCAAAATCCCTGGGGGGCCTCAAACCTAAACCCTAAACCCTAAACCCTAAACCCTAAACCCTAAACCCTAAACCCTAAACCCTAAACCCTAAACCCTAAACCCTAAACCCTAAACCCTAAACCCTAAACCCTAAACCCCAAACGCCGCAAGAGGCTTCACGCTCAAGAACCTCGAGCCCAAGCTGGTGCAGCCCCGGAAGTCCGGAGGCGCCAAGAGGGGCTTCCGGGAGGCTTAAGGGGGTTCAGGGTTTAGGGTTTAGGGTTTAGGGTTTAGGGTTTAGGGTTTAGGGCAACTCCGGGGGGGCTTCCGGAGGCTTTAGGAGGTTTAGGGTGGTTTAGGGTTTAGGGTTTAGGGTTTAGGGTTTAGGGTTTAGGGTTTAGGGTTTAGGGGTTTTCGGGTTTGGGGTTTAAGATTTAAGGGTTAGGGTTAGGGGTTTAAGGCTAAGGGGTTTGGGGGTTTAGGGTTTTGGGGTTTGTGGATTCCGGGTTTAGGGTTGGGGTTGAGAGGTTTAGGGGTGTAGGGTTTAGGTTTAGCGTCTAGGGTTTGGGGGGGGGGGGGGGGGGGGGGTTGGTGGGTCAGCCAGGGTTTCGATTTAGGGTTTTGGCAACTTTGGCTTAGAGTTTTTTTGCGTTTAGGGGTTTTGCGGTTTAGGGGTTTTGCGGTGTAGGGGTTTGGGGGTTTTGGGGTTGGGGGGCTGGGGGGGTTGGGGCAGGGTTTAGGGGCTTTGGCGTTTCGGGTTTTGGGGTTTAGGGGTTCAAGGGTTTAATTTAGGGCTTTAAGTGTAGGGTTTCTTCGGGTTTCAAGGAGATTTAAGGTTTGGCTTTGTAGGGGTTAGGGCTCCCTAAGCCCTACATCCCTAAACTCGAGGGACTCTTGCCTTGGACCCCTCAGGTTGTACGCTTGGTTTGGGGACCCTTTGTTAAAAAGTCTGACTCTTAAGAGAAAGTAAGGGCCGCATTAGGAGTTTATGAAGGGGAACCTTGAGGGGTACAACCTTACGGGTACGAGTCTTAATGTCTTGATAAACCCAGGGGGTACTTCGTGTTTTTGACGGATTTGGCGTCGAGCTTAGCTGGCTTTACTTACGTGCTTGAGTTTGGTGAGCTTGTTTTTTGTGTCTGGGCGTGTTTTAGGCTTTAGGGTGGTTTAGGCAGATGCCTTTGTGTATCTATGGCATTTTTGTTTGACGAGTTTGTGCCCTCGCGACTTAGACCACGGTTTGGGAACCGTGGGGGAACATTGGAGCGCCAGATGAACTTCCTCATGTCCTCGGTGCTGGACGGGCAACTTGCCAGCTGCGATGTATGGGCCGCTCCCTGGCGCGATACCTGAACGTTTGGGTGGAGCAGGTCCATGTCCCCGAAGCCATCAGATCGGCCTCCAGGTGCCTTTGTATTTTCCGCCCAACCCTGTGTCACTGTGCCGGGCCTACAGCAGGGCAATCCGTGGAAAGCATGCGAGCCTCGGCCAGGAGGCGTCTCTGAGCTGCTTGCATATCCTGATCAAGCACAGGTGTTGCAGGGACCGCTGGCTGCTGCAGTGGGGCTTCATGCTCGCGCTGTCAGGCTTCTGACGCCCTAAATCCTACACACTCTAAACCCTAAACGCTAAACCCTAATCCCCATAACCCTAAACCCTATAACCCTAAACCCTAAACCCTGAACCCCATAACCCTAAACACTATAACCCTAAGCCCTATAACCCTAAACCCTAAACGCTATAACCCTAAACCCTATAACCCTCATCCTTAAACCCCCTAAACCCCAAGACCCAAACCCTAAACCCTAAGCCTAAACCCTAAACCCTAAACCCGCTAGCTCCTCCTCATCCTCCTCGTCCTCATCTTCCGCACTCTCCCCGCTGAACTTGGAACCCTCGCAAAAATTAAAATTTTCGCTGTTTCTTCGCAAATACAGTACCCAAGAATTGCAATTTCCGAAGCCCTAAAACCCTAGGCCCCTTACACCCCAAAACGTTAAGCCCTAAAGCCTGGACCCCATTGCAAGCACCCTGGGCCCGAAATCCTGAACCCTCAGCCCTAAACGAACCCTCAAGCCCCCGCAACTTGAAATGAGTCAACACTTAAACGCCGAGACTTTCCTCGAACACCCCGAAGCTTGCCGCGAAACTCCTGGAAACTTCCCCCGGACCTGGGCCCGGAATAAGTTCAAAGAACCCAAAACCCCAAATCCCAAGCCCCAAACCCTAAACCCAAACTAAACCCTAAACCCTAAACACCCCTAAGCCCTAATACAAATTCCTAAGCCCCAGAAACCCCAAGCACTAAACATCCCTAAGCCCTGAGCCCTAAACCCTTCTTCAGCATGACAAACACCTGCCGCTTTTGCGCAGTCCTGGAGTTGACGGGCGCAGAGGACCAGGTGGCTACCGAGGGATCCACGAGAGCTTAGGGTTTGGGGGGTTTAGGGTTTAGGGTTTAGGGTTTAGGGTTTAGGGTTTAGGGTTTAGGGTTTAGGATTAGGGTTTGGGGGTTTAGGGGTCGTTTAGGATCTAGGGGTGTTTAGGGTTGCTTAGTGGTTTGGGGGTTCAGGATTTAGGGGTTGCGGTTTAGGGTTTAGGGTTTAGGGTTTACGGGTGTTTAGGGTTTAGGGTTTAGGGCACGAAGCCCTCAGCCCTACACTCTAAAGCCTACACCTCTAGAGGGTTCGGGGTGGAAAGCTACCCTGAAATAGGCTGCTGGCTTTGGGGCGACAGTTCAGCCCACCAACCCCGCAAACACCCCCTACACCCCTAAGCCCTGAATGTTCTTAGATGCAAAACCACCAAAAGCCGAACCCTGAAAAGCTCTTTACCTGCTGCTTCTTAGTACGGAATGAGGGAACCGGGTACCGTCTAGACTCCCTGAACGGGCTTATATAGGGCGATCTCAGGTACCTAATTCCCTCATTCAACCCCCTAAACCCTAAACCCTAAACCCTAAACCCTAAACCCTAAACCCTAAACCCTAAAGCCTAAAGCCCAAACCCCAAACCTTAAAGCCTTCAAGGGTTGCTGAGCCCCCTTAAACCCACCAAAGTCCCTGTAAAGCTCTCAATCCCAAGACGCCCAAATGCCCTTCAGGGTTTAGGGTTTAGGGTTTTGGGTTTAGGGCAAGAAGCCCCAATGCCCCAAACCCTGATTGGTCTGTGGTTACCGGCCGTTCTCTGGCGTGGTTTAGGGTTTAGGGTTTAGGGCTTAGTGTTTGGGGCTTACGGAGTTTAGGGCTTAGGGGGGTTTTGGGGTTCTGGGGTTCGGGGGGCCAGAGCGTTTATCAGAGGCTTTGGCCAGGGGTGGGGCGCTGAACTCCTTCCTGACCCAGTACAACATGTGGGAGAGCATTGCCCAAAGTTGTAGCCGCCTAAATCCCTCAACGCTTAAATCCCTAAATCCCTAAACCCCTAAACCCCTACACCCCTACACCCCTAAACCCCTAAACCCCTAAACACCTAAACCCCCTAAACCCCTAGACCCCTAAACCCTACACCCCTAAACTCCTAAACCCCTAAACTCCTAAACTCCGAAATCCCTAAGCTTTGAACCTAGACCTAATGGTGAGCAAGATTGAAACACCTTTTAGGGTGTTCATACGGGCTCTACAGATTTTTAGGGTGTTTATACGGGCTTTGCAGGGTTATCAGGGTGTTTAGGGTGCTTATAGTTGCTGTATAGGTTTTTAGGGTGTTTATAAAGGCTCTGTAGGTTTTTAAGGGTGGCTATAAGGGCACCTGAAGATCCCCCTAAACTCCTAAACTCTCAAACCCAAAACCCAAACCCTAAACCCTAGACCCTAAACCCTAAACCCTAAACCCTAAACCCTAAACCCGTTTTGTGAATATGCGAAGATCCCAGCAGGTGGATCCGTTCGCTTGGTCGCCCGCCGAGGAGTTTGCATGGCCCGGGGCCCCACTTCGGTCCTGGAGGTTGGTTTAGGGTTTAGGGTTTGGGGTTTAGGGTTTAGGGTTTAGGGTTTAGGGTTTGGGGTTTGGGGTTTAGGGTTTAGGGTTTGGGGTTTAGGGTTTAGTAAGGGTTTAGGGTTTGGGGTTTGGGGTTTAGGGTTTAGGGTTTAGGGTTTCGGGTTTGGGGTTCAGGGTTTGTTTTTTTTGGGGTTTGGGGGTTTTGGGTTTGCTGGTTAGGGTTTGCTCATTTGGGGTTTTGGGGGGTTTGGGGAGTTTCGGGGTTTGAGGTTTGGGGGTGTTCAGTTGTGGGGTTTCGGGCTTGGGGTTTTGGGGTTTCGGAGGGAGGGACCCTGAAGCCATTTGTTTCTGGTCTTGGGGCGCGCGGCTCCAAGTCTTTCTCAAGTTTGATTCCCTAAGCTTTAATGAAGCCCCGAAACCCTAAAACCCAAAACCCTAAACCCTAAACCCTAAACCCTAAACCCTAAACCCTAAACCCTGAACCCTGAACCCTGAACCCTAAACCCTAAATCCTAAACCCCAACCCTAAACCCTAAACCCTAAACCCTAAACCCTAAACCCTAAACCCTAAACCCTAAACCCCCCCAAACCCTCAACCCCCAACCCCAAACACCCCTAAGTCAACTCAGCTGACCTCGTCTTGGCAAGGTGCTGTTTCTGCTGGCGGCTCCTGACAGCCATGTCCCCTGGGCTACGGAGAGCCCCATACACCAGGCGTGCGCTGCGGGGCATGTGGGTTTAGGGTTCAGGGGCTTAGGGTTCAGGGGTTTAGGGCTGAGGGGTTAGGGGTTTAGGTTTAGGGGTTCAGGGGTTTTGGGGTTTAGGGGTTCGGGTTTTAGGGTCTAGGGGTTTAGGGGTTTAGGTGGTGGTGGGGTGGCAGGTTTCTTATGCGGGGGGGAGGGGGCCTAGACCTCCAAACACTATTTACCTTGAACCCTAAACCCTAAACCCTAAACCCTAAACCCTAAACCCTAAGCCCTAAACCCTAAACCCCGAAACCCCGAACTTCCCTGGCGGAGACCCTCCTGTACAAGAACGCTGAACCCTAGGCCCCTAAGGAGTCCCACCTGAAGCCCTGACAACCACAAGGACATGTATATGTCAAAACCACAAATCCCTGTAAATCCTAACTAGGGGTTTGAGGATTCAGGGTTTAGGGTTTAGGGTTTAGGGATTTAGAGTTTAGGGTACTATCAACCCTGTTTATCCCAAAGCCCTTTCATTCAGCCACCGTTCCCGCAGGCAGTGGCTGAAAGCCGCGCGCGAACCTCAACAGGACCGTGTTTCGGTCCTGGGTTTGAGTTGTTTTGGTGCTTTCAGGTTAGGGGTTTAGGGTTTGGGGTTTCGGGTTTAGGGTTTAGGGTTTCGGGTTAGGGTTTAGGTTTGCTTGCCAAACCCCACTGCCAAGGCGCGGATTCATTCTCATGCTCAAAGGGGGCCTGGCTCTTCACCCAGCCCCTAAACCCGAAGCAGACTGCCCATGCCATCCACTTTCCATGCGTAGATAAGTATCCCAAAACCCATTCTATTTCGGGAGCGGCAGACGTAGGTGTTTAGGGCGGACGCTATCCCCTAAACCCTAAACCCTAAACCCCAAAAAGCATAAACCCAACTCTAAACCCCGAACCCCTATAGAGAACCCAGTGCAGCCCCCACAGTAACCGCAGGAGGCGGTCAAGCTGGTTCAACAAGAGCTGGCGGTGCGCGTGCAGAAAGCCATCAGTGCCTGGAACGAGCTACAGGGTTCGTTTTCGACAAACCGAACCCTAAACCCAAGTCGAAGATCCTGGAATTCTTAGGGGTTTTAGGGGTTAAGGTTTGGTTTGGTGTTTGGGGTTTAGGGGTCCAGTGTTTAGGGGTTTAGGCTTTAGGGATTTAGGGGTTTAGGGCTTGTGTGCTTTCAGGGCTTGGGGGGGGGGGGGGGGTGACTTTGAAGCCCTAAGCCCTAACCCCGAGCCCTCGACGTGTTCAGGATTGGAAGACACCAGGGGTGGATCTCATGTCATCCCCCAGCCCTCCATCCCAAGCCCTAGAAGCCCTAGAATACAGGGGCCTCAATAATTAGAACAGGGTTTCGGGGGGTGATTACGGAAAAGTTTACAAAGGGACCCTAAACCCTAAACCCTAAACCCTAAACCCCCCTAAACCCTAAACCCTAACCCTACCCTAAACCCTAAACCCTAAACCCTAAACCCTAAACTCTATACAAAATACCCGACAACCCTCATCCTGTGGTCTCAGGCGCTCAAGAAAGCGGCGCGGCACGTCTCGATTATGCGGTTGGGTGCTTGTAAATACGTTGCATAGTTTGGGTTTAGGGTTTAGGGTTAGGGTTTTAGGCTTTAGGGTTTAGGGTTTAGGGTTTAGGGTTTTAGGGTTTAGGGTTTGGGGTTTAGGGTTTAGGGTTTAGGGTTATGCATGCATATCATATAGATATGTGTATGTAAACAGTATATGATCATGTATATTATATTACCAGAACAATGCAACATTCTGTAATCTTCCTTGCTCTGAAGGGAGGGGGGGGGCTTAGACCTGTGAAGGCTGAGTTGCTGAGTTTAGGGGTTTGCGGGTTCCGGGTTTCGGGTTGGGATGTTCCCCCTTATACCAACAGCCCTTAGTAGGGATTGTAGGGATTATTCTTGGGGATACTATAATTCCTAACAAGGACTGTTAGTGTAAGGGCCCTAAACCCTAAACCCTAACCCTAAACCCTAAACCCTAAACCCTAAACCCTAAACCCTAAACCCTAAAAACCCTAAACCCTAAACCCTAAACCCTAAACCCTAAACCCTAAACCCTAAACCCTAAACCCTAAACCCTAAACCCTAAACCCTAAACCCTAAACCCTAAACCCTAAACCCTAAACCCTAAACCCTAAACCCTAAACCCTAAACCCTAACGCCTAAAGCCTAAAGCCTAAAGCCTAAAGCCTAAAGCCTAAAGCCTAAAGCCTAAAGCCTAAAGCCTAAAGCCTAAAGCCTAAACCCTAAACCCAAATGGCTAAAGGATTTGGCTTAAAGGAGGGGTGTGCTTGGTGTTTCCTTTCGTCCTCTTTCTACCTGGGGGGCTTCGTGAACTGGACGTTCGTGACTTGGTGCCCATTCTCCGTGGAGGTTGTCTTCCCCGTCTTCGGTGAGTTTGCTGCACCTCGTGAACCGCTGCCGCTATTTGGTGTTCCTTGGGGAGATTGGGCCCAGCTACCTCATTGGCTTGGGCGGCCTACGCGGACGAGGTTGAGACGAGCTACGTGTACGCTGGACGGTGACGACGAGGTGAGGGTGTACGTGTACGCTGGGAGACTGCCGAGGGCCTGGGAGTGGACGTGATATTGGGCAAGGACACCGAGAGTGAGATCTGCCTGACGGATTGTGGGCATGGAGGAGGGAGGACATGTGGAGGGGGTGGAGCACTACCTCAACTGCCTGCTTGCTGGGTGGTGGAGTCCTGCAACTACCAGTCCGAGATTGTGGCAGGAACGCTGTGGAGGTTTTCTTCCTGGCATGGTGGTGGTTGATATGGTGGAGGTGGATGGGCCGTCGTCGGCTTCGGACAGTGAGCTGGGCATTGAGGAGGTGACCGACAAACGTGATGGGTCGGAGACGTATCAGTGCATGGGTCGTAGCCCCTTCCTCCTCGTCAGTGCAAGGGTCGTAGCCCCTTCCTCGCTCACCGATGTGAATGAGAACGATGCGCCGCTCCTCCCTTGAGTCAGACTGAGCCGCTGTACAGATTTTCAATTCTCCAAATATGTGATGCTGAGCGTCATGGACTTATAGGTGCAAATGTTCCGAGTTGTAACATCTTCTAGCTGCCGTCTGGGAGGGGGTGAGCCTATGCTGACTTCGTGGCCCCAGAAATCCGCTGCCGTCTGGGAGGGGTGAGCCGTCTGTGCTGACCTCGTGGCCCCAGGTTCCAAGTGTTCCCGAGTGTTTTCGATGCATGTGGGAGTCGTGTTGTTGGGGGGAAGGGGGGCCGTGCTCGCGCCAACCTCATGCCCCTGTTTCACCACTGGAGAGCGAGAACGCTCCGCCCGACCAAGGTGATTCCAGTAAAAAAAAAAACCCTAAACCCTAAACCCTAAACCCTTCTAAACCCTAAACCCTAAACTAAACCCTAAACCCTAAGCTAAACCCTAAACCCTAAAGCCAAAGCCTAAAGCCTAAACCCTAAACCCTAAACCCTAAACCCTAAACCCTAAACCCTAAACCCTAAACCCTAATCCCAAGTTTCGGGCCTGTAGCTTAGGGCGCAGCATTTCCGGTAGGGTGGGCTGAGGTCGAGGCTTCCCTTCAAAATGGGCCTTCAGCTAAGGGTTTAGGGTTTAGGGTTTAGGGTTCCGGGTTTAGGGTTTAGGGTTTAGGGTTTAGGGTTTAGGGTTTAGGGTTTAGGGCTCTGCAAGTGGAGGATTGTTGTTTCGCAGGCGAGAACCGACTTCTAACCATGTATTTCGCAGGCTCTGATGCGTCGGCTGTAGGCACAGCTAGGTTTGGGTTGTAGGTGCCCAAAACCCGAAACCCTAAACCCTGAACTCCAAACCCTAAACCTGCACACCTGATCCCCAAACCCTATGACCTGAACCCCCAACCCCACTTTAACCCTAAGCCCTCAACCCTAAACCGTAAACCCAAAACCCCAACCCCCCTAAACCCTAAACTCTATGACCTGAACCCCAAACCCTAAGCCTCAATACCTAGCCCGTAAACAGAGAGTTCAAAGACGCCGACAGGTCTCAAAAAGGGCTGAGTTTCGCTTAGCCCTGAGCCAGCTTATTGGCTTATTAGAGTTTAGGGTGTAGGGTTTAGGGTCCAGGGTTTAGAGTTCAGGATTTGATGTTTAGGGTTCCCTAAACCCTCAACCCTAGACCCTAAACCCTAAACCCTAAACCCTAAACCCTAAACCCTAAACCCTAAACCCTAAACCCTAAACCCTAAACCCTAAACCCTCAAACCTCAGGCTAAGGGTTTAGGGAGACAAGCTCTCGCATGAATCCATCCAAGCGCCTCGCCATCTCTAAAAGGCCCCATGTGAATCTGCTTGCAAACCCTCACGTTCCTCAGCCAAAACGCCCTCCACCCCTGAAGTCTAAAGCCCAAATCCTAAACATAGAAAACAAAACAAGCCCTGAGCCAAAAGAAGCCCTAGACCCTAAACCCTAAACCCTAAACCCTAAACCCTAAACCCGGAACCCTAAACCCTAAACCCTAAACCCTAAACCCGGAACCCTAAACCCTAAACCCCAAACCCCAAACCCTAAACCCTAAACCCAAAACCCTAAACCCTAAACTCGAAACCCCAAACCCTAAACCCTGAATCTCGTGTTGCCGTCGCTCAGGAGAGCACGGGGAAAGCGAAGGACCCGTCAGGCCATTGGATGCCCGGAAGCTGTTTGTTTTTGGGGTTTATTTTTGGGGTTTAGGGTTTAGGGTTTAGGGGTTTAGGGTTTAGGGTTTAGGGCT